TACATAGTTATCCATTACGGTGAACATGAGGGAGGAACAAAAGAAAAAGAGAAAGAAAGAGAAGTGCGCGCGCGTCTGTGTGTTTGCGTGAGTGTAAGCGATCGAGCGAAAGAGGGAGGGAGAAAAAGGGAATATAAAAATCAGTCAGATGCATGTTTGAATGCGATTACATTCTCGCGGTCATCTTATCACTACCGCCGGCAGACCGTAGTACACATTATTAATTGGTGTCAATAGCGTACAATCAAAATATTGTATATTTAAGATCGGTGAATCTTTACTGTTAACGGTATCTATTTTCAATTTCCATCATTGATAAGTATTCGCGTACGGAGAACTCCGTTTCCGGTCGCGGTAGTGTTAAGACGATCGTAAAACAAGCATATAATAGGAACAAAGGGAAAATCATACTTGGAAGTAAAGCATACAATGGTAGCGACACACCAAAAATGATGTTAGCAATCATTCTGTAAGAGAATTACGTTTTTTAGATAATTGTAATAGTATTTGCAGAGTTCGACTTATTTACTGATCCATAAGGCACCTTAAGCTGGCTGTGATTCATAACTCTAACGATTTGTTTCTAATCCACTAACACACATTGTTCATACTGCATACATCAAAATGTATAATTAATACGGAAGCATCGACAGTGCAACGTTCAGCGGTGTGTGTACTCCAAGATCATTTTCCCTCATAGATAGCGACATCAAATGCACTGTATCACATAGAGAGCAGCACTATTATAAACATAGATATATGATTATATTTATTATAATAATTTGAGAGTTAGGTATTCTTTGTTGTTTGTATTTTACAAGCGTAACCATTATTATACATAAATAAATAACTATATAAATGAACGAAATCTCCATGTGTCCATTATTTCGTGGTCTCTCGAACGTATTCGGTCGTAGTGGATAATAAATTGTGTTTACGAGCGTATATTCAAAATAAGATCTTTATTCAATGATAATGTAAATACATTGTTAGTAGAAAAAGAGTATCGTCTATTTGTAATTCAGTCACGCCCAGTTTCTTAATTGTATTTTGAACCTTTTCCAGCTGCTGTTTTTCAGACGGCGTCATAAGTTCGGCGATCTATAAAAAGTTCAAAAATAATGAATCGTTGTTATAATCATAATAATAATACAGGTATGCATACCTCCGCCAATTGTTCTTCAGTAGCACCATGTTCCTTTAAATTACTTGTTAAAGTTTGCATTCGTAATTGTTTGTCTATCATTCGCTTATTACTGGTCATCTCATACTCCCGTCTGCGCATAGTATTGTACAATGCATGGTAACAATGTTCCACCTCCATACGAACGACTAGATTTAAATCAATGTGAAACAAGAAAAACATTTTCATTATCGCAGCCGATACTCCGGGCTTTCTTATTTCCTGCATCTGCAAGTAATTTTCTTGCAGCAGTGTGTATGTTAAATGTTTCGCCTCTTTCGCTGGAATCATGGCTAATTGTTGAATTTGTTCAATCTCAATAAACTTCCTATCGCGCACTAACCTGAGGAATATAGACATTAATTTAACTAGAAGTTTTATAAAGTGTAGAAATGTATGTAACTAAACTACTAGGTTATAATATACCTAAAAATTCTAGCTGCTTTTGAACCAAATCTCTCCATTACAATATTCTCTAGTGTAGCCCATGCTAATTGATTGAAAGCTTCCTTCATATTAACGCTATATTGGCCCCCTCCAGAATCACCAACTCGCTTTAAAAATTGACTAGTATCTTTCTCTAAAATAAAACGTTTGTCAAGTACAATGTGATATCCCACATAATACCTAAATATTTTACAAAATGTTACATATACACTTATGGTTCATACCAATGAGACGTAAATATTGATCAAGATGTTGAGTGAGTAGCGGATAATTAATCTTTCTAACTGCCTCTTTTATCTCTGTAAGAGGTATTGGATTGGAAGTATCTGCCCACGAAGCTGTTCGTAAATACATAAGAAACAATAGTTGTCTCATCAACTCTGCTGCATTTTCGTCCAGTCTATTACGCATAGCTGATATAATAATTTGATCCCTATAGATTATATCGCACATTCCTTACATGTCTTGTATTTCTTGAAATTTTTATCAACCTTACCTAAAGTCCTGTGTAAAACGATCAAAATTGACTTTCCAATAAATTTTATTGTCCCCAGGATCTCCAGTGCCTCCATCAATTTGTTTACTAATTACAGACAACTTAAGATCTGGCATATTAAAATCTGGTTTCTCATTGGTTGATTCCTCAGGTATTTCTGAGTAGAAACTCCTCATTAAAAACTGATTTTTAACTAGCAATTCAAACTTTTCCTTTAACACTGGAACTGATCCTTGCAAGTTGGCTAAAGTAAATTATTAAGTAAATTGAATTCATGAACAAAATCTATAAACCTTTCCATTACAATAATGATATTAATAACTGAAGCTCACATACAAGGTGATTGTTCAATTCTTTTATATGTTTTCACAATTACTTCAGAAGCCGTAATGTACCCATTTTTTAATACTTCTTCTAACATCATTTCTGCTTCATCCCCACAAACTGTTTTTACAAAAAACATATACCTATTCAAAGTAAAACAGCTAGTATATAAAAATATCATTGTGTAAAGGACAATTATTATAATGTATTATAAAACAGCTGCTACCTTGAATATCTAAGGATCATTATGACTCTTTCATAAATTAATGAATATTCCATTCCTCTATCAGTTTGTCGAGGAGTGACAATATCATATTTTATTAAAACACATAATGCTTCTTTTATCTGAAAATAAAATCAAATTGCAATTTTATGAGTAGCTAGTTTAACGCAACTGAAATATACATTATATTAGTAAATTCCCACCTTTGCTAAAGGAAGATGAGTTGTGTGACGAATTAAACTTAATGGTTTTGTACCATATTTAATTAAATCTTCACCTACAGTCTGAACAATTTGTCCAAAGTGTTCCAATAAGATAGCGGAACACAATTTTCTACACATTGTCGACATGTTAATATAAAATTCATACAAAATTCTAGTATAAATAATTTAATACATTTAAATGCACAATCTGAAATATGGTATACACATTAAACATTATTTAAACATATTATATGATTGTTTACTTCCATAACCTCGTAAAAGGTTATAAAAATGAACAAAAATCATACCTTTATGACATTGATGTAGTGTTCTTTATATTACTTAAAAAGTATACTTTACAAATTATTTACACTCTTTTATTACACATTTTCACATAATAAATTAATTGCATTCACATTTGAACTTATGAAATTGAAGTCCACGCGATTACATAGAAAGTACTATAACTTCTAGTAACCAAACAATCATAGTGAATTATGTTGTAAACGGCGCTTAAGACTATCATAAGATATTTAAAATTTTCAACGCTGAAATGTTGAAAATACATTTGCAATAGTTATTAGAAACGTGTTTGAATGAGAATTTGAAACTTTATAATGTTAGTTCTTCTGTAATTGTATAATTAATTAATATAATGTTGTGTAACCCTTCCGCTGTTTCTTAGAAACACTTCATAAGGTTCGTTAGCTATCATTACTTGTAAACGCGTGCTTCATGCAATTCCGAAAAAGGTAAAATCATCGAACGCTTCGAAGAGAGCGTAATATAAACGATAGCGATCGTGTAGAAGGGATCCATTGTTCTCAATAAATTCATAAAGCGTACAAAGTATATATTAAAGTTTGCGGCACCGTGGATTTAGAACTTCCGGCGGAACAGCATTGTCGCAGATGATCACGTGATCGAAGATCGAGTTCTTCGTTTGTGGCCACGAGGTTTTGTGGTGAAAATTAAGTTTACCGGGTGGAAAAGGCCCTATATTTTTGTATTTATACAAAAATGCCCTCCAGCAATCCCTTGCCACCCAAAGAAAATGCCTTGTTTAAGCGAATTCTGGTGAGTAACGTGCAATCAAAATACTCTGTTTTGGACCCCACTCTCCGGCTAATAGGAGTATTCATCATGCTCTAATGATGAAGCACTCTTCGAAAAACTACAAAAAACTCACTGGCAACCGTGAATTGCAAAAGATTCGCGGCTGTTGCGAATAAAAGTGCGATCTTCTGCACGTCGCCCGCAACGCTTGACCGTGCCAGTTTACACAACTATACAGTACTTAATTCATGAAAACATTTTATCCTGAGAAACGTAATTGTGTTTCTTGCAGAGGTGTTACGAACATAAACAATATAAAAATGGGATAAAGTTTGCAAAGCAAATTTTATCAAATCCTAAATTTAGCGAACATGGGGAGACCTTGGCAATGAAAGGTCTCACTCTGAACTGCTTAGGTCGCAAGGAAGAAGCATACGATCATGTACGGCGTGGTCTTAGGAATGATTTGCAATCACATGTTTGTTGGCACGTTTATGGACTACTACAGCGCTCAGACAAGAAATATGATGAGGCCATTAAGTGTTACAGAAATGCTCTTAAATGGGATAAGGATAATATACAGATCCTTAGGGATCTATCGCTACTTCAAATTCAAATGAGGGATCTGGAGGGCTATAAAGTAAATATCCAATACTTTGTTCTGAATATATTGGATGGATAAGAATGTTAATTTCCTGTTCTGTGGTGCCATCGTTTAACTAGCTTCAAAATGAGTTCATATAAAATTTTTTAATAAATCCGATCAAAATTCAGTATATACTATGTTTTTTTAGGACACAAGATATCAATTGTTTATGTTACGTCCTACACATCGTGCATCATGGATTGGTTTTGCTATCTCGTATCACCTTCTAAAGGATTACGAAATGGCTCTAAAAATTTTAGATACTTTTCGAAACTTCCCAATGGTATGCACTTCAATATTAAATAATTACTTGTAGTCCAATGTGAATCCTGTATTTAGAGAGAATATTTCAAGCATGCGGTATATTGATTCAAATCTAATGACATTAAGATTATAAATCATACCTAAATACATGTTATTTGTGATAGTGTATAATAGGGATATTCATAAAATGTGCAGATTTGTTATGATTACGAACACAGTGAATTGTTGTTATACCAAAACATGGTCATCCAAGAATCAGGGGAGTCTGAACAGGCACTGAAACATCTTGACAAATACAGTGATCAAATTTGTGATAAAGTTACTGTAAAAGAAACATATGGTGAGTGGAATTCTGTGCATGCTTTATTTATAAACAGTGTGAAATGTGTATTTGTTGAATATAACTATTCCCCTGCATTTAGGTAAATTAAGATTACAATTAAAACAATATGCAGAAGCAGTTGAGGTTTATAAAGAACTTTTAAATATAAATCCTGAAAATACGACATATTACACTAGGCTAGCAGAGGCTGAAAGACATGCTAAACCCGAAGAAACATTAGCTATGCTCCAAAGATATGAAGAACTGTTTCCTCGAGCTCTAGCGCCGCGACGCTTGCAATTATATTACGCCTCAGGCGATGATTTTAAAACATTAGTCGATCGGTACTTACGAAGAGGTATTTATGCTCGATATACTTATATAAGCGATGAGGATAATTTCACTGTTACTTATATTGTATTTATATATAGGTCTTCATAAAGGCGTGCCGCCTCTATTTGTGAACCTTCGTTCCCTGTATACTGATCAGCAGAAAGTTGACATTATACAGTCTTTGGTATTGCAATACAAGGAAGCATTGAAAGCTCATGAGCATTTTAGCGATCAAGAGAAAGACAACCCACGAGAGCCGGCTTCGGCGTTGCTGTGGACATATTACTATTTAGCACAACATTACGATCATCTCGGACATACAGAAAAAGCACTGAATGAAATTGATGCTGCCATAGAACATACTCCTACGCTTATAGAACTTTTTGTTACCAAAGGTCGCATTTATAAGGTCGGTCACTCGTTAACCTAGAATATTGTTTAATATCCATTGAATATTCTAAATCTAATGTTCACTTCTCATCAGCACGCCGGTAATGTTCAAGAAGCTTATAAATGGTTAGATGAAGCACAAGGGTTAGATACCGCAGATCGTTATATTAATTCGAAATGTGCCAAGTACATGTTACGCGCAAATCTCATCAAGGAAGCGGAAGAAACATGTGGCAAGTTCACCAGGGAAGGTGTTTTAGCCATGGAGAATCTCAACGAGATGCAGTGTATGTGGATACAGACGGAAGCAGCTAATGCTTACAAACGTTTAGGAAAATATGGGGAGGCTTTAAAGAAGTGTCACGAAGTGGATAGGGTAAGTTGCACAATGCATAATCGTTGGTTATGTTTAATCGAGTATTTATACGCCATGTGTGATCTGTTGGTTACAGCACTTCTCTGAAATCATAGAGGATCAGTTCGACTTTCATACCTATTGTATGAGAAAAATGACTCTGCGGTCTTACGTTGGTCTTCTGAGGTTAGAGGACGTGCTACGAGCTCATCCGTTTTACTTCAAAGCAGCGAAATGTGCGGTAGAGGTTTACTTACGGCTACACGATGATCCTCTGCCCGATCCAACACAGGCGCAAGAGATCGACACCGGTAAGTCTGCATTCCATGCATATCGTTTTACTTTTATGCAGTCATCACGATTATAAATCGTAGATTTGTTTATGCGGTACGGGTATACAGGACGTTCGTTTTTTTACCAATTGATAATTTAGCGAGCGGAAGTTATAGATAATGAATTACCAGTTCCAGCAGGCTGTTATATTTTAATATTTTTTTGATTGAAATGATACTTTCAAATTTACCTTGACTTTCTTAACTTCACTGAAAGTCTCGATATCATTTCTGTCGCTGGGAAAAGAAGGTTGCCTTGATCCCTGGAAGATAACAAGTTGTTTCGAAATTTTTGTGAACGCAACTTGCTCACAATTAATTATCGCGAGTCACTTATATGTTCTCTTATTATCGAGCGTCCTATATACATACACATCGCACTACATTCGAAAGGTATATCCTTTAAAGTTCAATCGACTTGCCGTTGGCCTTAGACCTCGCAGGAATGATTGACGATCATTTTCTTTCAATATATTTTATTTCCAAGTTTAAATAATTGACCTTTTGAGGATTGTTTGCCATTACATTGGAAGTCACATTAGCACATAAACTAACTCAGTTTCCAAAGAAACTGGTTTAATCGTATAGTAACAATACCGTTCGCTAAATAACATCTCATATGTTTAATGCAGCATACAGTTTTCTACGTAAATATTTACAGTAAAATACTCGAAGGACTGAAGGTCATCATCATTCTAACGATATTGCAATTCGAATTTCAACATTATATCAATGAGAATACTCTTATAATGCTGACCCTTTCAGTGCTAGTAGTAGCCCATCGTCAACCATTGAAAATTAAAGAAATTAGACCCAAAGTATTGATCAATGGATTAACTCGACAACGAAGATCACAAACTGTTTAATCGTAATACTTAAAAATTCATCGAAACTCTTACAGGTCCAATTTCTTTATTTCCCACCAGCATAATGGCATTGCATGATAAGGATACTAACTCGCCGACCTTGACCGACCAATTTATTTCAATTCCACGTTAGTACCGCCCACCACTGCTCTTCGTCCAAGTTCTACACAGTGAAAGGGTCAAACATTCTCTCCCAGAAAAACGAATTTCACGCTGAGAAACGTGTCTTTATCAAATCGAGTATCGTACTCCGGCCAATGGCGCACGAAAAACGTAACTACGATCGACTTACCGCTATCGTTAATCATTTACTATATACACGTACATGTTCACCTCGATCATTAATCACAGACAATGCGCGAGTACGCGACGCACTACCGCTCATAAACGCGCACACCTATCGTCGCACGCGAACGAGTATCTCGCGTCTGTATCAATGCCTATAAAAATGCTTGGGCAGGTAGCGAGCGGGGGGCAACAAGGGGTCGGGGAGATGGGAGTCGGGGTAACATATAAATTAAGCATTTATACCGTGAGTAAGGCGTTGATAATCATCTACCCTAGTCGTTACATATATATTTACACGTGTAATAAATATCCTAACGGTACCGACCGTCCATGGACGCGTGTCCACCTGTGTTCCTCGAGCGTCGAGCCCAATACACGCTTGAAGGAACTGTTCTCGAGCAGGGTATCGGGGACAGGTTGCAAAAAACGGAGATCCTAAAACGTTTGAAACGCACCGGAGCATAACGATTCCATAAAAAAAAAGAAAAATAATGAAACGGGGAATCTCGCGTTGAGGGAACGTTCTACATCAATTTTTCGATTACTCGCGTCGGAAGTATTCGTCAGCCATTTGCAACGGTACGCGAATCGCTGCGATACACTGCTGCCCGCGCAATAGTTTCAAGTACGTACTGGGCTTTCGTATGGCAAAGGCAAAATGGGGGTTCAGACGTTGCCGGGTCGCCGTCGACGTCTCAGCAACCTCGCCCCCCTCGATTTCGAGTAGAGGTGAGCCGCGTTTCGTTCCGGCCTCTGCGTGACGGCCTGCGGCGTCAGGAAGTAAAAGTGGCCACCGTCGCCCGGCAATCGGTACGCGAAGTACGCCTTCGGCTTCTCCGGCTGGTTCTCCTGCACGTGAACCGGGTCGATGAATTCAGCGTCAGGGTTGATCGTGGGCCGAGGGTCCCGGTAGTTCACTTTGATGTCGTCTTCCAAGGATATAGGCAGTTGGGGATACGACTCGTCGATCTCTTCCGGGGATTCCGCTATCGGCACGTAGTTCGTAGACGGTCCGTTCTCTTGGTTCACCAATTGTTGAGGCGGGTAGGCACGAATAGCGGCCAGAGGCTGACTCTCTCGGTTCGGTATCCTGTAGTTTGCTGGAGGCTGCGGATTCGGACTGACGGTAATGAACTCGCTGTCCGGGTTGATGGGAGGCAAAGGTTGCCTGTAGTTCACCAGTATATCATCCTTAAGGACGATCAGGGAATTAGGCTTCTGCGACTGATCGCCGTAGTGTACTTTAACGTTCGGCGTCTTGAATATCGGCGGCTCAGGGGTGTTGTAATTGTTCTCGATGTAACTGCTCACGTACTCGGGCCTCTCCGTGGATTTCGAGTAGATAGGCGTCGTGCTGGGTATATTCTTATGCGGTATCTTCTTACCGAAGATCGTGAAGTACTCCTTCGTGACGTCGTCCAATAGCTTCTCATCTTGCTGGGTGTAGTAAGTCAAGTGTGGATTGGGCGTGCTGTTTATGACAGAATTGGCAGTGGTCGAGGGATAAATCGGAGCTTGGCTCTTGTACGGCAGACTCTGCGGCCTCAGCTGCTTCGTCGGCTCGTTCTGCGGGTAATCGTATTGGGGGGCGTTAAAGCTTGAGATCTCTACGTCCCGATAGTCGTTGTAAGGCACGGTTTGCTGTTGCTGCTCGAATTGCCTCTGATTGCCGCGCTTCGAGTAATCCGCCGCCTCGAAGCTGTACTGATAGATCGGCTTCGGCTTGTCCTGCCTGTAATAACTCTGCGGCCGCGGTGTCGTGTAATACGATTGCACTGGACGAGCGGATATGGTCTGATAATAAAGAGGCGTGCGATCGGGTAACATGCGTTGACCCTGGGTCCTGGCCGGCGAAGTTCGCGTGACCGAGTCGCTGTAACGAACCGGCTCCGAGTTTTTCACCACCGTGTCGATGTACTTGATGCTGTAGTCCTTCGATGTTTCCTGCGACGGTATAGTCTCCACGCTGTAGAACTGCTTTTTCTTCTCCGCCGGCCGTGGTTGGGTCACTGTCTCGAACAACGGAGTCTCGGTGGTGGTCTTGAAATAAACCGACGGATCGGGAGTGGTACCAGGTTCGTTCGATTCCTCGTAAAAATAATAAGAAGCTTGGCTAGGCGATCGTTCGGGACTGCTGGTAGTGATTATGTTCTTTATAGAAGCTGGCGTTACCTCTATAGGCTTCTCCAAGGTGGACTGCGTCGATGTGTAGTACGACAATAGAGGAAGAGTCTTGCTGGTCACTACGCCGGACCAGGCTTCATTCTTCTGCTTAACGGTCTCCTGACTGGTCACTTGGTTCTCTGCTATAGGGCTTATGCTGTAGAAATCGGGGTTATCGAGGGTCGTCGGTTTATCTGGCGTGGGAGTTGTGACTTCTACGAATGGTACGCTAGGGACTCGACTGGGCGGCGCAGCGGTCACGTTCCTGTACGTTGTTCTGTAAGTCTTCGTGCTGGTTGATACGGTCACCGATGACCTTGACTTTATGACTGGCGCACGGGTGGTGGTGCTCTTGTATTTCGTCGTAAGCTTCCTCGGTGGCAGATAAGTCGGTCTCTGCCTTGGCGGCGGGGTGGTAGGTCGCTTCGTGTATTTCTTCGTGGTGGTCTTCTTGTCTTCGACGGAAGAGAAAAAGTCTGGCGGCGGTGGCAGGATGATCCCTGGGACCAGGGGACCTGGGGGTACTGCCGTGGTATTGTCCTGTTGATACTGGAAGCTGTACGGCGGCGGGTAATAAATCGATTGATCCTCTTCGTCGTAATCCGACTGATTACTGGGAGGTGGCACGAACACCGCGCCAGGCGGTATCGCGTGATAAAATGGCGGAAGACCGGTCAGTGGGTCAGGCTTCGATTCGTGGTCATTTTCTCTGGAAGTACCATTATTATCCGCGTTGGGCATTACGATGGTGCCGTTGGATATGATGGCGAAGAGTGGTCCATCCTCGGATAGGAAACCCTTCGTGAATAGCGAGTCCTTCCGGTAGTCGACGGTGCCGTTTCCGATCTCCTTGGTCCCGTTCGTCCCGATGATCTGTATCGGTCCGCCGTCCGTGAGTTGAACCGGGAACGGTGGTGGTACCTTCGGTCTTGGCGGGATCTTGACCTGTCTTCTGGGCGCTTTGTAGTTGTCGATCGGTGGCCAGGTCTCCGCTTCCCCATTGCTCGGCGTGGTTTCATGGCCAGGAAATTTCCCACCCCGTAACACTAGCACGTGATTCTCGGCCAGCCAGATCTCGTCCTCGTCCAGACCCCCTAGATTCTCTGCAGTGTCCTTCGGTACCTCTGGGTTGCTCAGATAGCTGATGATCCCGGGCCTCTTCGGCCGATTACCGTAGATCTCGTTCTGTATGAGACCGTACTTTCCCTCTTTTACTTGCTGGGAGAGCGTTTTCTTCCCGTCGTCGTCATCTGGGCGACTCGGCTTCGACTCTTTGCCGTTTCCCGCCGAGGACAGGAGAATTCCATCGTCCCATAGCGTATCGTCTTTCCCCTGGTTCGCTTCGTCGGATCTCAAATGTCCTCCGACTAATCGGTGCGACACTTTCCTTCCGGGTTCGGTGGTGATCTCGTTGTCCCTGCTGGTCGATGACTTGAAGCTGTTGCGGCTCACGGACGTGTACACCCTGCCTGGCCGATGACTAGATTCCTCGACGCCGACGTGCCGCCTTTCTCTGAGCGACGTCGTCGATACCACGATCGGCAGACAGGTCGCCAGCAAGGCTGCGCCCACGAGGAGTCTCCGTAGGGGATGTACTTTCCGCATCATCTGGAACAGAGTTCGAGGAACTTCTTATTACATGAATTTTTATGGTCATTCCTCTTTTCTTATTGCCTTAATCGCCGGTTCGAGGCATTCGCGATGCCATCTTCCTCGAATGAATAATAGATGCAAGTCGGTGAACGATTCCCCGAGACCACTCTACTTGGCTAATACCGGGAACGGTTCGTGAGCACAATCATTGGAATTGCGTTCACGGTCAGTGCGCGACGAAGGTAATTTTGATAATATCATTCAATTACGCTATTCATCCTTCAAGATGATTCGTCAGGGAACACGCCAGCCCCCGCCGCTTGTAAAGGGAGTGCAAGCTTATTTGCGTTGCACGGAGGTGTTTCCGTTCCGCGTAATAAATTTACTTTCCCTATTGACGGAACACCTTTGTCCCGATTACGTGGGAGGACTATAAAGTGGGTCGTTGCTTATAATGTTTCTCAAATTCTACGTTGTTATGAGTTATATGAAGTTTGATTCGAAATGTGATTCCATTTGGATGACTACAAGAATAGAGGATAACGTGTTTTTACCAGGAAGACATTTGTATTCATGCATTTCTCGTACGTGTAATAAGCATGTATAATAGTATGCACGTGGAAGTACGAGAGCAGTTGCGCGAAATTACCGGGAAAGTACCGAGGTTTCTAAAATTGTTTTCGCCCGCGTCCGAGAGAACGTCGAATCTAGTCCACGAATTTCGCGAATTCGCCAATTCCATTGACTCGGATCGCAATAATACGGGAATGTGGGTCCGGAGGGGGCCACGCCTTTCCCTCGTGAACAGTCGGTGAACGGTCGACAAACATTCACGGGTCACCGGAGCACCACCAACTCCCGAGTAATGACTTGCAACCGAGCAACAAACTGTAAGCCCGCGTTTCTGCATTCGCCCGGCGATGCAGTCGATTGTTCCGCGGAGCTAAGGTCAGCCCGAACAACGCGGCACCCTGTATTCAGTAGTAATCCACGTGAAAAGCGAACGTCTACCAGCAGTAATCTGCTCGAGAAACGTTGGGGGTGGGATTTTATAATCGAATCCAGCAATCGAACAAAGACTATGAATTCTTACCACTCGTCGTTTCTCATGCATTCGATCGATTCGCGTGAGAACATTCGGGTCCGGACAACAAGCTCTGTCAATTCCAACTGACTTAATAATACGACCACGATAAATTCAGCGAATCACTTAGCACGCCGTACACAAGAGCCAAGGCTGCGGAGATACGTTGGAAGCGACCTCAGTTGTTTTCATTCGCGTCCGTATAATTTCCATATAATTCATCGAACCACCCGACGTCCCGTCCGAAACGTCTGTTTAAGCCGACGGACACGCTGATAGCGGAGCACGGCTCGGAAAAGAGTACCTTTCTCCTCGTTTCCGGAGTCACCCACGAGTCCGCGCGACGATAATCGTTCGCCAGGGTTTCACGGTGCGTCGTCGGATAACAGTAATCGAGCCGGCGCGCACGGTAAACGATCTTCCTCGGCGAGTCGGAACAGCTTGAGACGCGAAAACCGGCGTGCACCGATATATAGAGCAGCTGACTGACGTTATTCCATCCGGCAAATGGGGCCGATCGGTTCTCCGCGAGCGACTATTTAATCAACGCAGAGGCGACGTGCCGGAATTGAGAAATTCCTCGGGCGCGTATATCGGGCTTTGGCGGCGGCTTAATCGCGCTGACGCCTGCTCGAATCATTCCCGCCGCGGCGATGATAATGCTTAATCTAATCCACGATTCGACGCCGACACCGCGAGTCCGATCGAGGAAGACTTCCACCGAGCGTGTTCACCACTTTCTCCGAGTTTTGCTGATCACCGTAAACGCGAGGAGAGTGCTTCGCGCGGGGACACACGAGCGCCGGACACGAGATCCGCCGATTTAAATCTCATCAAGGAAGACGCTGGTTCGCCCGTCAGCTGCTCGCCCGCCGCGGGACACGCTTCCGCGTCGCGTGGAAGCGCCGAAGAGGATGATTCCGGCCCCGTGGCCCGAGGCGACACCGTACAGCTGCTTTTCCGTCGAGGATTGCGCTTCGCCGCCGGCGTCCCGGTTGGCAGACAGTTTTGCCGTGGCTCCGGCGTTCATTAGAAAACCGGCAGAACGTGTCATGGCAGGGCGAAGCTGGGGAGCAGCCGCTCGCGCCGGCATGGTACACGTGACTGGCCGGTTTTCATCACCTTTCCCAGTGCACCGGGCTCCTCAAGGACGCTCGTTCCGAAAGGTGGAGCCATTTCCAGGCGGCAACGGTGTGTTGCACGCCGGTTGGACGTGGCTGGAAAGGAGGAAGTTGTCCGCCGGCCGCGATTCCTGCCGATTCGAACGATCTTTCCTCCTTTCTTCCGATCCGAGCCGCCGCTAACCTCCTATCCGCGTGTCGATTATTATTTTCGGCTCGAAATCGGACCGACTACCGACTCGACTGCTAGCCGTTTATTCGTGCAGCTCGTGCGATGAAAAACGATGTTGAAATCGGCGGGCTTTCACTTTCGTGACACCGCGCCGACGGTCTTTTTACTCGATATGGAATTTGAATAACAATGACTTTCTTTCGTCGAGCACTGTCTTCGCTTCACATGATTCGAGTGGACTGTTCGCTGCTTGAACGTGATGCGTGGCCGAATGGACGACTGTTTCCTCCTTTCATCTCATCGCTGTTATGTTAATTATCGTTGGAATCAGCAGTTTCGGTCCTGATTGCATTATAATTGTAGGAGAGGTTCGAGGCGCAGCGATGCTTTAGGGTGAATCTTCTTTTTGCACGTTGCGCCTGGGTTTTGGAGAGATTGGCGGTGTTACGGCAAGACAAACGTTAGTCGCCTGCGATCGTTCCGCTCGACAGGCAATCAGTTTTTGTGATGTAAGACGAACGATCCCCGGGGTGTAACAGGTGTCGTTACGCTACCGTTGCGAGCGGCACTGCCGTAATATCGTTTCCCGAAGCGAGATTTTCTGGTCGCGCCGCGGCGTATCGTGCGTCGCCGCCGTTGTTTCGTTCAATGCTGCCCGAGAAAAAGTTGCGTGCCGCTATGCAACGAGCGTGTAATTGTAATACCCTGGTTTTTCCGGCAACACCAAGTTTGCGGAGTCCACGTACGAATTAGGAAAAATGATTGCTTCGCTTCCTGTTGTTTTCTTTCAACTTCACCTTCACAGCTTTTTTTTCGTAACGTTCTTCTGTCCGCCGGTTTACCTAAAGCTGATGACCGGATAATGGGTTGGGAAACTGCGCAAAGAAATCATCTCGAGTTACGTGAGGCGAGCGTTTCGTTTCGAGTTAATTGCCAGCAGTCGTGGGCGCAAAAATGAATTGAGAAAACGCTGAGCGTTGCGTAGGAAATTCAGAGTACAATTATCAAGACACAGATATTCAAATATCTCCTCTCGGCTGATAAGAAACGGAGTAAGCAATAAATTCGCGTAAAAAACACTCGAAAGCACGAGCGCTTATCGTTCCTTTGGAAACTGGTGCTCGTAACAGAACCGCGACCGGATGATAAAGTGAACGTACGTGAATTAAAACACGAGGCGCGCGAAACGGTCTATAAAAGACGTCCTAAATTGATCGTTACGCGGTGCCATTAAACAGGCATCAAATTAAATAGACTTCAAACGTGAATGAACGCTGGATGCAATAAAAGTGGAGTTATTGCACTGGCAGTCGCTGTTTATTTTTATCTTAACCACTTTGGAGCGCGAGCTGTTATGGCCTTGAATGCGGGGCATCAATCGGTGTGCAACGAAATGCACTCAACGTAGAACGGACAGAAGATACAGGAATTGCATTAATCGAACTATAGCGATTAAAAGATCTTAACCGTTCAGTTTCAGTTTCATTGAATGAACTACTATCATTCCAATTGGTCGAACACAGAAATGATTTTGCTACTCGGATCAGTTTTGCTGCCCAAGAAAGATTGCATTGCTGCAACAAAGTAGTATTCTCCAGTAGTAGCATTATAGTAGTACTACTCGAAAGCTTGAAATAGCGGTACAGTTTGATCGAGCGTTTCCTCCTCAGAATTCCTCGCGGGTACTCGAAGTGCCCGAGCGTTCAGGCTAAACTGAATTCGGTTATTTCAATCGGGTAGAGTTCGACCTGTTCCTCCGAGCGCTGAAACAGCGACACGAGTACAAGTCAAGTAGACTCACGTCAAGTAACACGTTGCACCACACGCGCGTCGGCGTGCTTCACGTAAGACCAGCGTATCCAGCCGTTATCCAATTGAGTTCACGCTTTCAGCTACTTTCCTTTTTGTTTCGCGTTGTGCTCGCTGGGCAGCATTAATTCCTTAACGCCGTGCTAATGCCTCCTAGCAACTGTCGGTGCGTCACTCGTTCAGCTATGCTTCCTGTTATGACAGCCGACCGTACACAGCGGTCTATTGTTTATCTTCTCGCGAGTAGCCGTTTTAAATAAACCCGCGTACAAGTTGATAATCGACAGATCGTCCTAGCGGAATCGTGGAATCGCTCGTAAATGGATTTCGTTAAGCTTCGAGGAGCAGCTTTAATTATTCCGAGCATTTCTTTCAGCATTTTTCATTCCGGACAGTGCGAGCGTATTCCCGGTAACATTACTGACCTCGTTTCCGATGCGAGCCAGTGAAAGACCAGGCGTTATCGCGTGAATTTCGGGCTATTTTCAAATTTCCAGCTCGCCGTGCAATTTGTAACCCCTCGCTGGTTTACGTAATGGAACAGTGAAAGCTAAAACGAGCACGGTGTTCGCCTTATCTCGCGGCGCTTTTAAACTGTCCAGTTTCGTTATCTTTTCCCATCGCGCGGGAACTTTTCGCTCGGAGCTTTCCGCGCGTTGAAAAAGCCAGTGTCAAGCACGGAGAACGGTTCAATCCTCTCCGGCCGATTTCACTCCGCGCGGATTAGAAATGTCACCGATACCGATCATCCAGGTATTTTAAATAGTCCGCTCGTTCGAGTTTCAGCCGAGGTGAAACTCGTTCCACTGAACCAAATCTGATTACTCGGCTGTTCGAGCGTAACGGGTTCAGTATCCATGCAATTTCAATCTGAATTATTGATTCCAATACTCCAATCGAGCCTGATTCTCTACCAAACGTTCTCAGCTGTTCCATTCAGCGTCCTTCACACATGAAGAACTGTATGCATTTTTATCTCGTACCCCTTAGAAGTCGCTATTTTTACATTTTTATGATAATCTTCGACCTTGTTCTCCTCTATATAGCGTGAGTTTCGCTATTTCTTTTATGTTGTATACTCCGATAAAAAGGTACGTGAATCATTTGATTCGCAGGGGCATTCTAATGGAGCTGGTGCTTTAATGCATCATCGGGTCATAAGGTTGTCGAGGCACTTTTACCCAGAAATTCGGCCGCCTTTGCCTTTCAAGGTGTCGATCCGTCGAATCGCGCCGCTTTCATTATGCAATGATCCGAGTGCAAAGGCAGATCCCTCGCTGAGTTATCAGTGATGAGGCAGCCGGCGTCCGACTGACAGAGAGACGAGTAGCAGCGAGCGCAGTGGAACACCTTGGCATTGACCGGCTTGCTCTGCAAGGCAACTCGCTTGCATAATATGCTCGTCTCGTTCATCCCGAGACTGCTGGATTATTCTCTCTTCTCCGTGAGATCCTCGGAGCTCCTTTAACGGCGAAGCCGCGCGAAAAACGCTGTCACTGTTGTCCCCCAATTCGACCAGGAGACGGTCGGAACATTAATACACCATGCGTGACAGATCCGGATCGAAAATTGACAAGCAGCGAGCATACAGGTGGTTTATGAAAATTATCAACTTCGATTTCACCGGAAGTAAGTGGTTCTGGGCAGGTACATTCGTTACTTTCGAGCGTGTCAACTTTAAACTTTTCGATCGTGTTCCCTAATTATTGAACATTCTTATAATGTAGGTCAGTGATACTTTGGTGTTCAAGAAATGCATTGAAATTTGGAAATATGTTAAACGTTGAATTTTAAATATGTCCTTTTCGTGGATGTCTCGAATCGGACGCAATTTCGTCGTGGAATTTCCTTTCACGGGAGAATTGATTTCGGCGGTTTTCCTGGTTGACGTGAAATAATCGAAATACTAGTCCACCGAGTACCGGCAATATTTTCTGATAAATATCCGGCGTGCATTGTGCGGAGGTGACGGAACGCATATGGCGTACGCGGCCGATACCGGTTTACGTTTTTGTTGCGACTGTAAAAGCTGTACTGGTCAGACAAGGTTAACGGCCTAATTTTTTCGCAGAAAAGATCGTCATCCTTCGGTCGAATTTTTTCGACGGATTTATTGTTGCCAACAAATGACGAAACTCAAGTTTTGTTTCTTTCCCCCTTGGCCGCCGACAAGGCTGCACGCAAACATCACGGACCTCAAATTATCCCGCGGTTCCTTCTACGAGTTGCGAACACCGCGTTCCTCGGATATAATTGGACCCCGAAAATCGTGGGATTCGGTATCCTCGTATTCACGTTTTTTCGTCATTGTCTCCGCAATTCTCCTCAGTATGCTTCGCAAACACGGCGATGAGAAGAATTTATTTCCGACGTTTATTCGATTGAAATGTTATTCTGCAGTTGGAATTCTTCCTCTTATCCGATGATTGACGCACGAAGATTATTTCCATCATCTTTTCCTCTTATAAATCTGCATTTATGCGGATGCAACTGTTGTTCGCCTTCCGCTTCTTAGATGAATCGCACTCTTAACCCTTTGTAGAGATGTATCTAAAAAATCGAAACTCGTCGATCTCCTCTAGCCTCTAATTATCAGCTTCGAAATGAAAACAAGTTGTTCTCATGGCTCAGGAATTTTGCGCTATAAAGTGTGCAGCGAAAAAATTGTTTTTAGCGCTACACGTTGACGGCCGATTCCGCTTCGAATTCTTTACGGTCCGGTGTCAGAGCCTGAAATATAGCCAGACGTTTCACGCGTCGAATTAAGGTCCATCAAGTACTGATCGAATTTCCGTTCGCCGGCGACCCGAGCCCAGAAAACCGGACGATCGCCGCGTCGCAATAGTCCGCGCAATAAATACGCGTCCGCTAATCTCATCAGCACATCCTCGTACAATTTTTGCGTTCGCGTTTGCTCGCCAGTTCTCCTTCGGACGGAACACACGCCGTTTTATTTTAAGAAAGATCGGGATCCGAGGGGCGACCTTAACGCGGTGCGCGCTCTGAAATAGATGTGCCGCTTAAAACGGCCATTTTAGGGAGAAAAAAGA